TGGTGTTGCTCCAGCATCCCCCATGGTAGAGATGCAACCCTCGTGCCCACTGCAATGCGTCAAAATCAAAACCAAAATGGGTAAGATCAAACGATGCATCGCAGCGCTCGGACTTGGGACCGAGTCGAGCAGTTATTGTGATGCCCTTGCTTCAGCTTGTCGAAGAATCAGACAGCTGTGGAGTTTTTGCCAACGCCAGCTGCCGAAACCATAAAAGCACTACAGCAGAAGCTACGGAACTGAGCCGCTCGTGGCACTTGAAAAAAAAAAGGCGGGACAAGGGCGGGACATGGCGGGACAAGGGCGGGACAAGGGTGGGACATGGCCGGACAAGGGCGGGACACAGGCGGAACAAGGGCGGGACAAGGGCGGGACACGGCGCGACACGGGCGGGACATGGGCGGGACAAGGGCGGGACAGGGCGGGACAGGGCGGGACACGGGCGGGACACGGGCGGGACACGGGAAGGACGCGGGAGGGACAAGGGAGGGACAAGGGAGGGACAAAAGGGACAAGGGAGGGACAAGGGAGGGACAAGGGAGGGACACGGCAGGGACAAGGGAGGGACATGGGAGGGACAAGGGAGGGACGCGGGAGGGACAAGGGAGGGACATGGGAAAAACACTGCAGGGGGAGGGAAAAGGGTCATGGGAGGGATGTGGGAGGGAGACGGGAGGGAGACGGGAGGGACAGGGAGGGACAGGAAGGGACAAGGGGAGAACACGGGAGGGACCGGGAACTACCAGAATGGCAAAGAAAGGGATTTTTGACCATTTTGGGCGTTCACAAGCCCTGAATTAAGGCCAAAATGTAAGTTTCGCGGCCCTGAAAACCCCCAAAAAAGCCAATTTTTGCGATTTTTGACCATTTTGGGCTTTCAAAAACCCTGAATTCGAGCAAAAACATAAGTTTGGCGGCTTTGGAAACACCACGCCCACACATCCATGGTGTGTGTTTTGTGCATTTTTGTGTTACATTTGAATATTTTGCCCATGTTATGTGGCATTCCATTGATGTTCGCATTTTGTTGCTTGGCAACGTAGGGTTCCAAGGTTAAAAACTTAGGGTTAATAGTCTGGGCGTAGGATTAGGGCTTGCGGGTTTTGAGATAAACTTCCAGGCAGACCCCGAACAAGCACAACTTTTTTCAAGGGGATCGACAAATGACAAAAAAACGTGCTCGACACTGCAGCAGCGCAACCAGCTTTGGAGTCGCATGTTTTGGTGCAGACACTGTAGCAGCAGCGCGGCAACACATCAGCACGCAGCAGATATATCTTAGATAATGTCGCTGTTGAAAAAGGCAGGCATTCGAAATCGATCGACTGTGGAGTACTTGGAAGTTTTCTGCCTTGGTCGCCTTTGATGACCGCAGTCTATTCGAAGTCCAGCGCATGTCCAAAATGCCATACAACGTGAAAAACAATTTTTGTTTTGCTAATTTTTGAAAATTCATTTGCGTGAGAGCTTTTGGGTTTGGACGGAGCCGGCTTCGTAATGCAGTATTGGTATTATTCGGGGAGACCGGCTTTGTAATTTAGCATAAGGCCCTAAGGGCAACAAAATTTTACGCCGAAACTGACATGCCAATCTTCAGTGCTGCGCTGAGGGAGCTGCTGTGTTGCATGATGACTGCACTCTTGTGCTGCGATCGCTTCGGCATCTTGAACCGGCGCGGACTGATTCTCATGCAAGCTGTGTCATCAAGGCGCGGTTTAAAGTATGACTCAAGGATGTTTTTCCTAGGCTCGACAGAAAACTCCAGAATACCAGAACTTCTACAATGTAAGTAAGCATTACATTGCATGGCTTTCGTATGATCTTTTTTAAGTACTGCCTGGCTTGTTTGGAGGATTTGGAAATTATTTTGTACCCATCTTTCAAGGGTCTCCAGAAGTAGTATATCCTAGAGTCAATAATTTTTCTTTCTTAACTCTTTTACTTTCATATCTTTTCCAAATCCTTTCTGTCATCTCAGAATTTGGATGGCACAGGATGAACATTTTTCCCGTTATCCACTTCTGTTATGACTTAATCACCTTCAAATACAGGAAATCTTATATTTGGACTATTAATCTCTGGCATATCTTCATGTCTTACATCTCTTAACTTTTGAACAGTTCTAAATCTGAGATCTGATTATCTGACATTAAGACGATCCCATCATTTCCTTGGTCTTTCCTGTTTGGGGTTCTCTCCGTAGATATAAAGCGGGCCGGCAAAATCCACCCTGTCATTGTAGGCCCAAACTAGCTCTCTGAGCTTTGAAAGCGTAACTATTGAAGCCTCGACGTTGCATCCCAGGCCTACAACTTTTTTTTGAAGTGGGCGCCGCTTTAGTCAGCAGCTCAGTAGGTCGGTCGGACACGGTTTTAAACCAGGGTGTTTGCCCCCCCGCCCTGCCCGGCCGGCATGCCTAGCTTATGTTTTCCTCTTGAGAATTTTCTCGGTGCATGACATGAAGATTTTCTCTTGAGGATTTCACATTTTGCTTGGCATGTTTTCCAATCTTTTTGGCCCGGCAGTTTCTTGCTCGACTGATCCCGGGAGGTCTTGACCTCGCAGTTTTGTCTTAACTAGACACATGCGAGCCCTTGTTCTGGTGCTCCTTTGGTGCCATGGCTTCCATTTGGCCACTGCTGGGGTCACGCGTCGGCGTCGCCGCCTTTGGCCGGATACGGTGGAAGTCCCACCAGCTGTGCAGCACCCGGCGTTAGATGCTTGGTCCAGGGCCGAGCGGGACTTTCCGTCGTCGGCTTCATCACACAGTGTACAACCTGCTGGAGGCTCCCCGGTGGCTGCTTGCGGGCCTGATGCTGGCGTGGCTTCGCAACCCCAGTCTCAGGCTGCAGCTTCTGCCTCGGACCCGACTCCGGACTTTGAGCTGGCCGATCACCTGGTGGATCTCTTGCAGAGTCATACGGAGGCCGCGGCGCTTTTTCACGCGCCTTTTCGTACTGCTCTCTCGGGATTGACACTTCATCATCCTGCTGCTCTGGAGGTCTGCAATTATTTGTACACTCGACTGCGGGAGGTGCCTCTTCCAGTGCAAGATTCGAATCTTCCTGGCGCCCCTTGGCCAATCCAGGTTCTTCTGCAGGTGTTTGCTCGCTTCATGTGTCATCTTCGGGAACTTGATGATAGCCCACTGCCGGCTGCAGCGCCCGAGTCCGATGCAGCTGCGGTGGTATGTCAGGATGAGGCCTCGGCTCTTATGGTCCCAGACCGTCCTTCATCGGCATCTGGCAGCCCACCACGTGCTCGACGTCGTTTGTCTTGAATTTCTCTTACTGGCGAACCTCGACATCGGCTGGGACTTTGCTGTGGCCAGTTCTGGCCTTTGGCTCCTTGTTCCTCAGTATGGCTACTGGATCTTGGTTGGGCAAATCTTTTGCTTTAGTTCTCACCAGGTACTCTGTACAGGTCGCATTTTTTCAGCGATGAGTTTTGGTACCCAGCCTTCAGTTGGTGCACTCGCTTGCAAAATTGCCGTCGCGGTCTTGGGTTGCCTTGTCATCCGGCCACGCTGGCAATTTGTGATGGCACGTTCATGCTCCCCTTGCTTTTGACGTGCTGCTCATCTCGTGAGCTTTGCAGTAAGGCACGTTACTGTCTGTGTGCATCTTCTGCCTTGCCGCGCTCGGCTTGGCTCGATCGGTGAGGGCGCCGCTAGTGGACGGCCTGTCCTTCACGCATGTTCAGGGCTTGGGGGACCTGTGCTTTTGCGACCTTGTCGGGGTCTACTTAGAGTTGAGTGCGTTATTCTCATGCCGCCCCGCTCGCGCCGCCATGTGAGACACAATGTCTGCCTTCGCCATCAGGCCCCTTTACCAGATGATCCGGTGGTCAGTTTTAGCAGTGATGATGACATTCCGGCACTCAGGGCATCGACATCGCCAGCAATGCCTTCTGCCTCTGCTCCCTACCGCATGCCGGACGAGCTCACCTCCTTGCGCCTCCGGGTACAGGCACTGGAGAATCAGCTTCGTGCTCGAGACGTTCTCCCTGCTGCTGGTGGTTCAGCCCGCGCTTGGTTCAACCAGCTTCGCCAGTTTGTCTACGAGTCACCTCTACCATTGCTGGAAGGTTCGGGAATGCCGCCGTTGGATGTCGCTGTCATCCTCGCCTTGCAAGAGACTGACGCTTGCTGTGCAGCCCTTGGCTCAGCTTTGGAATCACTGGAGGCGCGCTTGATGTGCGGGCCGACCCGCCTTGATCCGAATGCTCCCGTGGTGCCTCCTGCTCCTTGGATTTTGGACCTTCGAAATCAGGTTCGAGCCTTGTCCGCGATGGTTGACACCCATCAGCGGCTCTTGAACGGCCTGGCTGGTTGGATCCCTCTGTCTCCCTGCCCTGTCGACCCTCCACCAGATACGTGGGCTGTGGGGACGACCTATCGCATCGCCGTTCTCGAAGCAGCTTTGGGTGGTGTGACACCTTCCGAATCCTCTTCCACAGCTTCTAGTTCAGTGACATCGCGGCTCTCACGTCTGGAAGCTCAACTGGCGGCACTGCAGCACTCTATGGCAGCTCCTCACGACACTTCCTCTGCTGAGCCCATGTCGTGATCTCGACGGCGTCTGCTTCCTTTTGTGCGAGGCAGCTCTCCTCGGAGGTCGGCCACGGCGTGCGACTTTTCCATATGCACACCGTTGGCCTTCCCTTCAGGGTTTCTCCGGTTTCTTCGGCTTTAGGTTCCGGTTGATTCCTTGGGGTTGTTTTGGCCTTTGCAACAAGGGTTTTTTATACCAGGGCTTCCTGTGCCTCTCAGGAACCACTGCCTTCGGGCCTGTACAGTTCGTGAACGGGTGCCGTGCTTCAGCTCCCAAAGGTTTGCGCCTTCTTCGATAGTGCCTTTTTGCACGCCGGTTGTTGCCACCGTTCACGTGCTTGTTCCCGCTGCTTCACTTTGGAGTTTTTCCTTAGTTTTCGGGAAGTTAGTGGTCCCCCCCTCCTCATCCCATTTTGCATGGTGGTCCCATACGCCTGCTGACTACGTCATGCTGCCTCGACCATCTCGCTGGACTGATGGAAAGCTCTCGGAGTCGTACCGTCCTGTTCGGATTCGCCTACCTGTGGCAGTACCGAGTCGGGCCCCATTTCTTTTTCCGCGGGTGCGAGCCCCCTTGCAGGCGACTCCTACATCTGCTTGCGCGGCTCCGGTTCTGCGTCCTCGGCTACGGACTCCTATGTCACCGTACCTTCGGCCATCTTGGACTACTCCAACTTCAGGACCGCTTCACACACCGAGCCCTTGCTTTCCCCCGGCTCCTCCCTTTGCAAATCTGGGCATTCGATCGGTCTCAACTATGCAGGAAGCTTTTCGCAATGCTCGCAATTCGCAGCTGGACCGTTGGCTGGGCATAGCATGCTCTGCACGCAAGGACAGTGACGTGATCTCGGATCTTCTCCGTCAGCCTGGGGGCGAGACACATATGGTGCGTCTGGTTGTGTCTTATGCACCTGCAACTCTGAGTGCCTACTTCAACTGCTGGGATCAGTGGGTCTCCTTCTGCGCGGTTCTGTCAGAGTCCCAGTTTTCGCCCAGCCTGCGTGTGCTGCTCGACTTCCTCCAGGTTCATGCACGGGGTACGTCGCAATCAGCAGTTGGTTGGATTAAGGGTCTCCGCTTTGTGGCACGCCGCCTCGAGATTCCCTCGCTGATTTCAGCACTGGCAACATCGGCGGTGTCCTCTTATGCTCGAGCGGCGGTGGCAACACAACGGCTTGAGACTGCCCCTCTACCATTGTCTTTTGTCATCTGGCTGGAGGTTCAGATCCTCGATGTGACCCTCTCTCCCGCTCGACGTTTGCAGTGTGGGGCTTTTCTGACCTGCATTTTGGCTAGCTTGCGCTGGTCGGATGCTCTTTGGTCATCGCCGGCCAAGGTTCACGCCGTGGAATCCGCTGTCCTGGGTTGTGCTATGCGAACCAAGACGACATCGCGTTCCATGCCTTGGGCCGCTCTGGCCAGCGGCTTTACATCCCGCCCGGTGGGCGGCCCGGGTTGGGGCCAGGTGTTCGTGCAGCTCTTGCAAGAAGCGGTTCATACGACTACCTCTTTGCACCCCAACTTCGAGCCGGATTTTCTTCTGGCGGAGCTCGGCGACGACCCCTGGCGACCTCAGTTACTGGGTCCTCTCTCTCGACACCGAGGTATTCTGCTCCTGCGGTCATTGCTTCGGGATTGCTATTCTTCTACGCCGGCAGAGAAGCGTCCAGATTTGGACCTTATCGGAGTCCACTCTCTGAAGGTCACCCTCCTCTCCGTGGCTAAACAGCTTCTGCTCGATGATAATCTTCGTCGTCAGCAAGGTCATCATCGCTCGGTTTCCGGGGCGATGCCAGAGTTGTATGGGCGTGATGACATCGCCGGTCCCTTGGAGTTGCAGCAGCAAGTGGTGAGGGCCGTGGCATCTGGCTTTCGCCCTCTACGTCCTAGTGCTCGTGGTTCTCGGCCACCCTTGCCCGATGTGCCGTTCACAGTGCCTGCCCTCGCCCCGGCCGAGCCAAGTGGTGAAATTCCGGCCTTGAGTGCCAGACCGCCAGCGGAGCTGGACGTGGACTCCTCGAGCGATTCTGAGGACGATGATCCTGGTGCTGGGCTGGTGCGTGCAGCGGCTTCTTCTTCGACCTCTGGCACCTTCGACCTGGTCTCGTTCGCTCCGGATGGTGCCCCCGCTTCTACCTGCGTACCTCTCCCAGCGGTTCCTTCGGACGAGGTGACTTCTTCCAGTTCTCCAGATTCGGCTCTTAGTGCAGCTTGGCAGGCAGCCGAGGATGCGGAGGAATTCGAGTTCCTTTTCAACCCAGTCAGGCATGTTCTGCACCTAGCCAAGACCCTGTGATTCTAACCATCCAGCGTGCCAATTTCGACCGACACAGCGTGGGGAGCATCCTCTCCGCACAGGCTGTGGGATTCGCGGTTGCTTGGCCGAAGGTCATTTGGTGCGCTGTTCCGAAGTACCAGCAGGTAGCAGGCTTTGTTTGAAACATGGCTGCTGCCGTGAGCAATCTGTCCAGAGAGCCTTGGCTGCGTGATGGTTGTGCCAGCCGTCTTACGCCTCTGCCTTGCTCCGTGATCTGGCCCTGCCTGGTTGGACTGAAGACACGCTTGTCTTTGATGCTCCAACTATGCAACACTTGCTTGCTCCTCAACTTCGGGATTCGTCCCTCTGCGGGCGTACAGACGAGGGCTGCTCGACACGCTTGTCGGGCTTCCTCTGCCTTGCAGCATTTTTCGAGCAAGCTTGTGTTTCTTCTTGTGCCCCCCAGCGGCCCACCCGCGGTGGGTCGGCGGGACCTCAGGTGCTCAAGCTGGTGTTTCATTTTCCGACTGTTCTCAGTCGTGCACAGGTTGGGCTAAAGTGGAACATGCATGTCCTGTCTCTGCAGCTTGCCCAGGCGTTGCCATCTTCACCAGCCTAAGCACATGCTGTGTCTGTGCTTCTCTGCCACTCGCACGTGCATTGGCTCAGTTTTGGTGTGCTAGTTCCGGGTATCTTGCCCCGTGGCGGTAGGAGCTGTCATGGCAGGCGCTCGAGTGGATGACCCCAGCTACCTCCTCGCATCCATGAAGGAATGGGGCACTCCTGATGACGTCCAACAGGCACTGACGGGCAAGGGTTACACGACAGTTGCGCTGGTTGCTCACGCACTGCCCGAGCCGGATGCGCTCGAGCCCTTTCTCCTTGCCGTTTTGGGCCGCCCGGCTAACCACATCCCCGGGGAAGCACTTTTCTCCCCTGCTGCTTCAGGGCTGCGACGTGTTGTGAAGGCGTGCCAGGACATGGTTGGTGTGTCTGGTAGTCCTGATCCAACATCTCCTCTGCAGCAGTTGTCGTCATCCAAGACGACACGCCTTTCAGCCGCCGACGTGTCCCAGCTTAAGACTGCCTTCCAGACCAAGTACCCTTCCGAGCTCCTCACAGCGGAGCTGACACCGTCGCTTCCCTTTCTGATGCTCTTGAAGGAAGGACTTGATGCCAAGCAACTCCCCTGGGTCCCCTGGTGCTCTCGCACCAGCGAGGCTGACGCTGTGGCGTTCACCGAACGTCGCAAGCCTCGCACCGACAACGCTATGTTGCTCACTTTGCTCCAAGGGTCTTCGGATGATGATTTGCAGGCTCCGATTCCGAATCAAGGACCAGTGGAGCCAATTGTGCGTCGCTTCTTTGGTCTCATGTGCAACGGGCTTGCGTTGCTGGATTCGGTGCATTTGCTTCCACTTCGCAAGCTGATGGAGAAGTTCGTGGGGCTGGCGGTTGCGCAGCCTGTCGACAAGAGTCTTCGTTCTCCCTCCCTTCTGGAGGTGATGGAAGCGGATCGCGTTGTCTGGCTTGGTGTATCCGCTTTGCAACAGGAGAACGCATGGTCTTTGGCTGATGCGATTGCCGAGATGACGCACATTCGCCCGGACATGCATGCAGCCTTGGCACCCCGGGTGAAGGCGGCGTCACCTCATGCACCTGCGTCTGAGCGATCTTCACGCAAACGTGCGGCCAGTCGTGACGGGTCGCACAGACAGCCAAAGGCCAAAGCCCAGAAGAACAAATCCTCTCCCTCGTCGGCTGCCAAGGAAAAGGTGACACCGTCTCGCTGGCCTACCAATTGGGCTCGGCATATCTCTGGCAAAGGGGTCTGCATTCGCTTCCACACTTCCAAATGCAAGAACAAGTCTTGCCGCTACTCGCATAAGTGTCCCATCTTGATGGCCAATGGTGCACCGTGTGGCGCGGACCATGCAGCCAGTGCTCACAGTGCGGCAGCCCATTGACAGGGCGGGGTGGCTTCGGGGGTCACTGGGGCTCTCGGGCCACCCTTGGATGAAGGTGGGGATTCGCCCGGTGTCTGCCTGCCCGACGTTGGGGCTCCTTTGCCTGGTTCAGCCGAAGATTTTGCTTCCCAATTCTTTCTCCGTGAAGAGGCACCCTGCGCCTCTACAATTTTGCAGCTAGCTGACTTGCTGTTGGCCGAGTGCTCTGACCGTGACGCCAGGTTTGCTGTGGGCAAATCCGTTTCTGCAGGCTTGGCGATTCGCAAGGGCGCACATCTTCGTCCTGCAACAGTCTCCCATCCCCAGTCCGTGAGACTCGTTAATCGTTTCATCTCCCTGCTCTCACCCTCCTTTTTGCACAGCAGTTTTGTGATCATCGATGGAGTAGAGTCCGCTCCTCATCGTGATCGCCTCAACGCAGCAATCCCGAACATTGTCCTTCCCATCAGCCGCTTCCGCGGCGGTGAGCTGCTTATTGAGTGCCAGGACGGTCCGGCTGTCATCGAGTGCCCCGGCGGTCCTCTTGCTGCCCGTCGCCTTTCTCCTTCTCAGGGACCCGTTGTGTTCAATGCTCGGGACTGTTTCCACACCGTCGCTGCCGCACAAGACCGCCGTGTGGTGGTGGCTGCCTATACCCTGCAAGTCTGTGTTGCAGAGCCTGAGCAGATCGCGCAAATGGCGCCTCGACTCTGCGAGCTCGGCTTCCGGCTTCCCACCTCTTCCGACACGGCCTTGGTGTCTGCCCTGGAACCTCATCATCTTCCACTTGCTCCCCATCAGTGGAGGCTAATGCCAGATTCACCCCCTTGCCCTCCTCCGTTTGCGGGTGCCGAAAACAGGGTCGAGGTTGGCTGCAACTCCCTGCCGTGTCAGGGCCCAGCCTCTTCCCTGGCCTCGCCATGCTTGGATGGCTCGGATTTCCCAGGTCCAGCTGGCCCACGCTTGTTCCTGGATCTCTTCGCTGGGGCTCGTGCTCCGATTTCGGAGGCAATGGCTACGTTTCTGGCCGACCGCTTTGAGCCTGTTGATATCATCTTTGGCCCTGAGTTTGATCTTCTTCGGGACGATAGGTTCGAGCTGCTATGCCGGGTTGCAGATTCCGGCCTTGTCGGGGCAGCTAGTGCGGCCCCGGTGTGCTCTGACCATTCGGTTCTGCGCCTCAAACCAGGGGGACCTCCGCCGGTTCGTACTCCTTCTGAACTCGATGGGTGCTTGAACAACTCTTGGTCGGCGACCCTCTCCGCCCAAGAGAGTTCGTTGTTGCACGACCGCACTAGGGAGGTTCTGAGCTGTGTGGCTGCTTCGGGTGGTTTCATCGTTCTCGAGAACCCCGTTTCCTCGCTGACTTTTCAGGATCCACTCATGCTGGTTGCAGTCGGTAGCCCCGTTCGCGGCCCAGGTGGCCGCTTGCAAAGTTGGCCGTCCTTGGGCAAAGCGCTGGCTCTTTGTGTCTAACCGGGCCGAGATTTTGGAGATCGCGTCCGTTTGCGATCACGGGCACTCCTCGCATGAGCCCTTGCCACGGGGCCGCCTGGCTGATGGTTCTTTTGCATCCCGCTTGACGGCGGAATACCCTCCCGCATTGGCTCAGTCCCTAGCTTCGCTCGTCAGTCGCTTTGTGACCCGTTCCAATCGGGTGGTTCCTCTGGATGCATGGCGTTCGGTGCTCCCGGCGGCGCCCGTTTGGCCACAGCCGCGCCTTCGGGTAGAGGATGGTGGCGGTCTTCGTAGCACGGCGGCCTGGTTGTCTCCGTCTGGCCCTGACTACCTTCGGCGCCTCCGTCTGGCCTGGACGCAGAGGCTTTTTGATTCTGGCCTTTGCCTGCAAATTTCAGCTGCCCTGCGGGTAGGCTGTGATGCAGCTCCCTTGTCTCCGGCTGAGCTTGCGCCGTTCTTGGACGATTTGTGCGATTTCCTCGAAGTTCCCACCTTGGAGCGCCCAGCTGTCTTGGAGGTTCCGGAGGGCCAGCCTTTTCGTCTGCATCTACTGCAACGTCTCTTGGAGTGCTGTCAGGACCCGGAGGCCCGCGTCTGCCCGGAACTGGCGTCGGGCGTTCGTTTGGGAGTTGATTGCACGCTGGAGCCTTCGGTTCACTGGCCCAAGCGGGATGAGGCGCATCCCCTTACAGAACTGTTGATCTGCGACGGCTCCTGGAAGTCTGCTTCTGATCATCCCCAAGAGGTCTTGCAGATGCTCGAAGATGAGCTGGAGGAAGGTTGGATTTCTGAGTACCCCTCGCTGCAGGCCATCCAGGCCACCTTTCCGCAGGTCGCCTGCGGTAAGCTAGGGTTTGTCCAGGCCGAGGGCCGCTCGGCCCGCTTGGTGGTTGATAGTTCGATTAGTGGGGTTACGAGTTCCTGCCAGATCCCGAATCACATGCTGAATCCGAGGCTCTGCGACATCGCTGCTTGCGCTCCAGAGCAGGTTCCTTCCGAGCCGTGGGTGGGAGTCTCTCTGGACGTTCGCAAAGCGCACCGGCGGGTTTTGCTGGCCTGGGTGGATCGTGCTCTACTCGCCTTTTCCTTTCTGGGGCGCTTCTTTGTCTCCAACAACCTGAATTTTGGAGCCAGGGCATCGGCTTTCTGGTGGGGTCGAATCGCTGGTATGCTCATGCGTCTGTCGCATGCAGTCGTGTGGCTTCCTCACTTGATGTGGGATTATGTCGACGATTTTTTAGCGGCATTCCGCTCTTCTACGGCCCCACTCCATGCCAGCCTCTGGCTCATTCTCTTCATGTCGCTGGAGGTTCCACTGAGTTGGAACAAGTGCACCTGGGGCGAGTCGATTCGTTGGATTGGCTGGGATCTTCGCTTCGACGTTTGGACTGCCGAGCTTCCGTGGGAGAAACGTGTACGCATCCTTGACCAGCTTGCTTTCCTGCAGTCGCATTCGGGTGCGTGACCTGGAGTCCGCGTTAGGTCGGTTGCTGTGGCTCTCTGGCCTGCTGGTCTGGATGCGGCCTCTTCTCTCACCGGTGTACAAGGTCCTCACCCTGTTGCCCTCCACCTCCGTTGCTGTGTCACCAGCACTCTGGGATCGGCTCTTGGCTGCTTGCGACGACAAGTGCGTGCTCCGGCAGCCCACGGGCCACGCGTCCCTCCCGCAATCGGCGTGGGTGATCCGCGTCGCTCACACTTTCGTCACTTCCAAGCAGCAGCTCCTTGATACTCCATTTCGCAAGCACCGTCTTTGGGTTACCGTGCAAGATGCCGATCATCCCTATCGTGTGGTTGACGAACCGGCTCGCGAAGCTGTCCGTGCTTGGGTGATGGCATTGGAGAGTGCACCCCTATCCTGCTCCTTGCTGCGTCCGACACCGCTTCTACTCATTGCCGAAGCTGATGCATTTGCGGATGCGTCCTTGTGCGGCCTCGGCGGGTACATCTCTTGGCCCTCCGGGAAATGTTCCTGGTTTAGTGTCACCTTGACGTCTGAGGACGTGGCGCGACTGTGCGATGTCATGCCTCCCCCTTTGCAATCGCACATTGCCGCCTTAGAACTGCTGGCTCAGCTTTGTCTCTTGTGGGTCACTCATGCTACTCTTCCTGGGTGCCGCACGGCATTGGAGGTCGCGCTGCGCTGCGATAATTCTGCAGCTGAAGCAGCTGCTCACAAAGGGTTGTCGTCAGTTCGTTCTCTGGCCTGGGTTCTCCGCAGGTTCTGCGCTTGCGAGCAAAGCTTCAACATTCGAGCTGCTCCAGAACATATCCCGGGTTACCGTAATGCGCTGGCCGACGAGCTGAGCCGCCTCGGCACTTCGACTCCTCCTTTGGCGCTTGAGGACCGTTATGCTCCACCACTCACAGAGCTGCTGCGTGCCCCCACTCAGCTCCGGCTGGGCCCTCCGCCCTCATCTGCTCGCTGGCCTTCCTACATCGAGCAGCTGGCGTAGTCTGATCCAGATTCCGCGGGTGATTGAAAAGAGTGCCGTATATTCGGACCTGGGAGTCCGTGCATTTTGGTTTCCCGATTTTTTTCCTTCTTGCCTTTCTTCGGGGTCTTCCCCTGGCGGGTCGTGAAACGATTTCTTTGTCGGTGTGCTTTCGACCCCGTTTCGGGTTTGGGTCCGACTTATCGGGTAGCCCGGGACCGCTGTTTCGGGCTGCGTCCGTTGTCGTTCCCCGTTGCCTTCGGGTCGGCACCGATTTGGTTTACTCGCCAGTTCGACTCGCGTTGAATAAAAGGAGTGAAGGATTCATCTTTTCGGGAAACCCCTTTTTCACTGATACGTTTGGATATTCGTGATTGATTGATGGATATCTTTTCCTTACTAGTATTGGGAATCGAGCATGAACGTATACGGACAGTAGGGGTGCAAACGGACACGGTTTTAAACCAGGGTGTTTGCCCCCCCGCCCTGCCCGGCCGGCATGCCTAGCTTATGTTTTCCTCTTGAGAATTTTCTCGGTGCATGACATGAAGATTTTCTCTTGAGGATTTCACATTTTGCTTGGCATGTTTTCCAATCTTTTTGGCCCGGCAGTTTCTTGCTCGACTGATCCCGGGAGGTCTTGACCTCGCAGTTTTGTCTTACCCACCACCATCCCCTTGCACCTGCCTTGGCGGTTGTGTGTGTGTGTGTGCTCAATCTGTGTGCTTTCGACCCCGTTTCGGGTTTGGGTCCGACTTATCGGGTAGCCCGGGACCGCTGTTTCGGGCTGCGTCCGTTGTCGTTCCCCGTTGCCTTCGGGTCGGCACCGATTTGGTTTACTCGCCAGTTCGACTCGCGTTGAATAAAAGGAGTGAAGGATTCATCTTTTCGGGAAACCCCTTTTTCACTGATACGTTTGGATATTCGTGATTGATTGATGGATATCTTTTCCTTACTAGTATTGGGAATCGAGCATGAACGTATACGGACAGTAGGACTTTTTTTTTGAAGTGGGCGCCGCTTGAGTCAGCAGCTCAGTAGGTCGGTCTTGTGGGACGAGCGGAAGTGAGACATACTACTGCAAACAAGCAACGCAACACAAAAACGCCAGCAGCGCGAAACAACCAAACAACAAAGCAAAGGACGTCCTAATCCCTCAGGGTGAAACAGGCCCCTCTCAGTTCACGACGAGGACGAAGTAGAGAACCCGGCAGCACAAAGCGTGGCAGGCAAGTGCGTCGCGGATGCAAATCGTGCTTGGTCAAAGGGTGCACAGTTTCAAGCTCGGAGCCAATTCATGGCGGGCGCAGATGGGCGGAGGCATGCAAGCAAAAGACTGGCAAAGGGCGTGATCATCCAGATAGAGAAGAGAACGCTCTGTGCAATGAACCAAAGCTGCCGCAAGGGCAGATCATGCATCTGGAAAACAACAAGCAAGGTGGCAGCTGCAAGCCGCGGTCTCAATAGGACGAGTGGTCCAGAGCTTCTTCAGTGGTTTTGTCGCCATTCGGCTTGGAAATCATGAATCTTCAATGCACACTGCAGTCCGGCCAACTTAAAGAACACAAGCCATGATCGCGCACAAGTGCCTCAGGGTGATATGCATGCTTTTTTTTGAAACGGGCGCTTTACTACGTCAGCAGCACAGTAGGTCGTGGGTGGAGTCGGAGGAGGGTGATATGCGTGCGGCGTAAAATGATTTGGCCCTTGGAAACATCTACCTGGTGGTGCTCGACGCGAACTGTTGCGTTCGGATCGGTCTTGAAGCCTCTTGAAGCCATATGAGATGTCCTCCTTTTGGAAGCTGTTGTCTGAGCTGGTTGACAAGGCCGTAATTGAAAACCTCCAAGGCTTATGAGAGCCTGCGCTGCGCTTTCGATGCTAGCGCCCTGTTGCGCGACATGCATTCTGGTTGTGTCGGCCTAAAGTTGACTGACGGATGGCAGATTACCTGCGCATGCGGGTTGCCCAGAGGGGGCAAAATTTGCACCTGGTGTGGGGTCTGTCACTGACAGATGTAATCTACTTGAACAGAACTCGCTCAACAGTGCAGTTTGGAACAGGATTTCAGTCTGCGGATTGTCGGTACGTGCCTTGCAGGATTTACCAAAGGAAGCAAACAACCGCACAAGACACCAAAAATGCGAATTGACCTCGTATAATCCTTGAGAGACGACCACGTCTCATAACCTTCGCTCACCAGAGCGGCGCCCGCTCAGCTTGCCCTTATGTTGGGCCCGGATGTCAAACCTTGATACTACGAAAATGTGAAAATCATTGCTGAGCTCATGACCTAAAAGTATTACCCATTCGCTCTTCCATGACTTGGAACCTTTCTCAACCTTCAGTGCCGTACTTCTGCGTGCCTGAAAGACGGCTCGCGCCACACTCTTCCTCTTCTTGGTGCGAAGTACTCTCCCACGCACTTTTTTTCACATTTTCCAAAACGCAGGTTTTCTCAGAGTTTTTTCAAAGACTTTGAAAATTGATTTTTAGTTTTTTTAAAAGCGCCGTGATTTGTTGTTTTTTCTTCTTGAAAAATATTTTTAACTTCCATTCTGACTCTCTTTCGCCTTGAACTTCAATGGCTCCATAACAGTGAGGCCGCAGACTTGATGCAAGAATTCTCTGTCATAGTTTCGGAAGAGCACACAAGGAAGATCCGAAACCGACAGAGAGCTGTGCAAGTTGCTCAGTATCGTTTCGCTTGTGGCGTGATGTTTTTCTTCAAGTTTTGAAGAAAACTCTTGCTAGGATTAACTAGCAAGACAGAGCTCCCGTCCTTGCACCTGACGCAACTCTTGCATAGTTTGCGTAGACACGGTGCAGCCATCCCTAAGATATTCAACTAAGTGCGTAGATGGTGTTCTGGCAAAAAGCGCATCAAACTCCGTAAGATGGTCTGACATAAAGTCAGCGTAGCACTGAAACGCACTGCCATCAATGGAACTAATACGATCTTGCGACATAGTGCAGATACCTTACGCGGAAGCTATAGTGCAGATACCTTGCGCCGGACAAGATGGCACGCATGAATTTTAAAATCAGCAACTTTTGAAAGAATTTTCGCAACAAAAACTTTGTTTTTTTCACGTTGGCCGTGATATTTTTGTATGGTGTTATGGTGTTTTGTGGACACATTGATTTTTTGATTTTCAGCCAGATCAGTTTGGCTGATTTGGTTGCAAAAAGTTAGCAAGGCTCCTCCTGTTTTTGGCAAATTTCGTCAAGAATGTTCATCAAACAAGAAAAACTGGATTTTGCATTTTTTCGATTTATTTGAAAAAAGTCTGTACTTTTTGTGTGTTACAGTGTGTCTGGAATTGTAAAATTCATGAAGTCAATGTTTTCTTGTCTTTCCAGCATCTTTTTTTCATTGATTTTTGTCAAAAACATGAAAAAGGCATTTTCCAAAAAAATCAAAAAAGCTCATTCACTTTTTTTCAGTGATCGTCAATGCCTCGTATTGACTGATCAAATTTATCTATCCTTGTGTTTTCAGTATCTTTTTTCCTTGATAAAAAATGAAACATGTATTCAAAAAAGTTGTTCTGACCCTAAAACGCTTTTGAAACATTTTTTTGACCGCTAGCGAAAAACATCCAAAACTCTTGTAGTTGCAGAAAATGCTGGTACTGTGAAAGAAGTTTTGCTGGGTTGTGGTTGTTGTTTGTGGTTGTTGTTGGTGTCGCAGGATTTTCAGGTCGCAGGAGGAGCAACAGTTGTAGAAGGGAGTTGTAGGAGTGGAAGTAGTTAAGCACCACGGCTCTGACTTGTCCCGATAGCGGGGCACCTTTTTTTGGGTGATAGCTGGCGCCTCCTGCTGCGCGATGGCTCTGACCGCTTCTATGGCTCTTGCCTCCTTTGCAATGCTCACGGATTCTAGCTACATGGAGGTACGGATTAGCTCGCTAGAGGAGGTGTTGATTGCTCGTGGGAAGGCAGTTGTACACATCCATAAACTTTCCCACCGCAGCGATACAGCTGGACAATTGGCCATGCAGTTGATCAGCAACGGGGGCCTCCGCGTTCTTCGAACATGGGGTCGTGCCGACGGAGCTGTGATGCAAGGCAGCCCATTGCCGAAGGTACTCCTCGGCCCCAGGCTTGTGCTCCTCTGTTCTTGGAACATGGGGTCGTGCCGACGGCGCTCTGATGCAGGACAGGAAGTGTTTTCGTCATCGTGCCGACGAAGTTGTGCAGGGCCAAGCCGAAAGTACTTCTCGGCCCCTGGCTTGTGCAAAACGGCCCCATTGAAAAAAGTCGATGCGTTGAGCAATGTGCCAAGAGGGCTCCACAGAATGGCGCTGCTTTATCTCTGGGTCATGCAAGGGATGAGCAACGGGGGCCTCCTCTGCTCTGAGAGCATGGGTCGTGCCGACGGCGCTCTGACGCAGGACAGGAAGTGCTCTCGACATCGTGCCGACGGTGCTGTGCAAGGGTCCATCCAAAGCCGAAAGTACTTCTCGGCCCTTGGCTTGTGCAAAACGGCTCCATTTTGGGTAGCCGAGCGTTGCGCAATTTGCCAAGAGGCTGCTAGGCAGAATGGCGCCGCTTTATTTCTGGATCATGCGTGGGATGAGCAACGGGGGCCTCCTCTGTTCTCGGAACATGGGGTCGTGCCGACGGCGCTCTGATGCAGGACAGGAAGTGTTATCGTCAAAGTGGTACTTGCTGGATGATGGGTGTCAGCCAAATACAAAAGAGCCGGCCCGGTCCCAAGTCCGGGGTCGCAGCAGATATCTCTACAGCCTTCAAGATTATACACCTAGTTTGGTCTGCGTATGGTGTGGGTTCCGGTCCTGTCCGCAGGGGCCGGGCGAAGCGACATGCAACAACCCTGAACAGCTTTCAAGCGCTGAAGCAACGTGTTGATAGTGAAGGTCGATTTTTGAAAATGCTCGGACATTTTCTGCGAGCCCAAGAAAAACATCCTCAAGCCATACTTTAAACCGCGCCTTGATGACACAGCTTGCGTGAGAATCAGTCCGCGCCGGTTCAAGATGCTGAAGCGATCGCAGACAAGAGTGCAGTCATCACGCAACACAGCAGCTCCTCAGCGCAGCACTGAAGATTGGCATGTCAGTTTTCGGCGTCAAATTTTGTCCCGCCCGCCCACCCTTCGACTCAGCCGAGTCTGCACCGCGTGGCTTCCGCCCACTGCAGGCCTCCTTGGCCTTTGTGGAACCCAGAGTCTTTCACTCTTGGCTCGGCGCAGGGCCAACATGTCGCTCTATCGCAGGTTTGGGAATTTTCTCCCACCGCCCAGCCGAATCTGCACCGCGTGGCTTCTACCTTCTTCAGGCCTCTTGGCCTTGTGGGACCCAGGGTCCATTCAAGGTCCTATGTCCTATGACCTGCCAGCCGCCCCTCATGACTTATGTCTCACCCTCACCAGCCTTCTCAGACCTTCACCTCCAAAAAAAGCCTCAGAAGCGATGGTTTCAAAAAGCTTCTCAGACTTCAAAAGGTGAGAGCGAAGAGGCTTCGAGAGCTTCAAGGCAAGGACGAACGGGAGAGGCCTCGTGGCGTTAAAGATGCTCAGTGGAGCCTTTCTACAATCTCTTTAGAGAGATTAATGACCTGGCGCCCGCGTTTCTTTGTTTTTTTCGTAGCGCAAACGCAAGTTGGTGCAGGCAGGGCCAAAGGTTGCTTTAAACCGCGCAACTTGCCACTGCCATTTTTGTGTTGGTTTGCGTCTTTTTGTTGTTTGAAAATCAGAGGAGTTGATGAGACTGAAGTTGGGGGAGGTTGGGAGGCGCACCTCCCTTCATTTTAATCAAATCTCCGCACGCAGTGATTCACCCTCCACCAAGATGCACCCACGCTACATAGATGCTTCCTTGCGTCCATCACAATTGCAAATATCTACGCGCACGGAGGCGCCAACATCTGCCAAAACAATCTGGAGTCCAAGGTCGCCTTTTCTGACTCAAGACAAAACCGCGTCTGATCGAGTGGTCAAGCCACCAGGAAGTCCGTGGAAGGGTGGAACCGCAGCTCAAGCCCTGGCTTTTGGAACCGATTCGTAGATTGGAACAGGGTTTTTGTAGCTGGGGCTTCTAGCATTGCGCAGTTCTGAAAGTTGCCTCTGGCTTGCAGTCACTGACTCTTGCTTGCGCAGTGGAGCTGTTTTTGCGCCTTTAAGAAGCTGCGCTAGTATCTGCGTTCGCTGTCTTACTCTTGTAGCCTTGTTCTTTCCAAAGATCGGGACGTCGCCGCTCTCTAGATTTGCATTTTTATTTGGGAACTTTTCTTTAGGGTGCATGTAAAGACAGAAGCATGAGTTTTTGAACCTCTAGCTTCGGTTTTCGCGCTCCATTCGCAACAACAAACATTGTTCAACTCAAGTTCTTACAATCATCTGATAGATAGCTCTGGCGTAAAGAGCAGTTGGTCGTTTGGTGTTTGGGTTGGTCCGTCTGGCCAGCATAGACTGTTCACAGTTGGAAAACTTAGCTATGAGCGGGACTGACGCAGCAGTTGTCACCCTGCCGCCAGTTTGGATATCAACCAGAAATCTTAGCTATGAGCGGGACGCAGCAGTTGTCACCCTGCCGCCAGTTTGGATATCAACCATGCCCGACGACTCCAGGAAAAGTATCGTCAGCTTGAGTGATTCCCCTGTAGCCACTGGTTGCGGGACGTTTGGTAAGGCAGTTTTTTGGCTCGACAATGAGAACAAGAAATTAAATCATCCTATTTCCTGATGAATATATTTTTATTCTTATAAGGACTGATATTAATGTTCCGGAGATTCCAAAGATGAATCCAAAAAATGAATAATAAATTCCTAAGCCTTTATTTATAATTACAATTTCTAACTAGTGATAGAAAAGATAAAAATGAAAAGAAAAATGAAACGAAACAAGCAAAAGATAGGAAGATAGCCGAGGAAGTACCCATATGAAGAGCTATAGATTCACCATACAGTTCTTGTAATGGTATTTCCTTCATTTCGTGGTTTCGTTCACGTAATAAATAATAATACGAATTCAGCATTCATGCGCTAACTTATAATGCTTCATTCATAGTATTATTACTGTTCTCTTCACATCGTACCGTCGTGCCGCATTAGATATCATTAGATGACAGGTGCACTTGGTTCATATTATAATCTCGCGAACTCACTTAATTCTTTTATTCGTTCGCTTGTTATAATATTCTCTGCGTAGTTGTATTCATGCTTCACCGCGGTTACAGTGTACATCTTGACTGGGTGATCCGTTAGCCTTTGTTTGGTCTAGGATTCAGTCTGTGGTACAAACTCAGCCTTTTAAACGGTTAACCTGGCATGCGATTCCAAGGGTGTGAACGGTTAATCTTGATCTGTTGTTCCCAAAAGCCCACTGTTTTTAACACCTCAACTACTGTCTCTAGGAGTTAATCTGTTGAGTCGTGAAGGTAACAGCCAGGATGGGAGAATGAGGGTGAAAAGACCCCCATAATAATACTATTGTAAACTGGTGCACGAATAGTATTAAATTATGGGGTTCTGTTCACTCATTCTCTAAGCGGTCACATCACCAAGAGAGAATACTAAAAGCCCATATAATTTAATATAATTTGTAAGCTAAGCCATTGGGTTCCAACAAATTCCAACTTGAACCGGTATGATTCGATAGATTCTGTTTGGGGTTTTCGCTGGTGTAATTAAAACCATTAAAATCTTTCCAAAAATTAATTGGGGCCCATGTAATTTTCAAATCTCCGGCCTCTTTTCAAATCTTTAAAACCAGATCGGCTTTAAATTCATTGTAATTCTCAAAAAAGTCGCTAAAAAACATGGTAAATTCGAGAATAGCAGTGTTTTAACCGAAAAAACACAGGTCCATAGTGTGACGCTTATATTTTGTATGGACGTGCTGATTCAACACGCCTTCAATGAGACAGAGCAGTTCATTCAAACTGCAACTGGATGGTGAAAAACGTCTTGTAGCATGTTGCATAGCAAGCGGTATCGCAGCCTAAACCCAGCCTTATCGCTTGCTCTGCGGTTGACCACAGGCCAATCACAGCTTCGCCACGGGCACGTGCGCTGACTAAAAAACCAAAATTTCTTTAGCCAGCAGATGGCTGTCATGGTCCCGTCCGTCTGCTGTTTCTGGCTGTCACGGTCTCGTCCGCGTTTACGGTTTTTCTGCTGTCGCGGTCTCATCCGCTTGTACGGTTTTTGGCTGTCACGGTCTCGTCCGCTTCTGCTGTTTTCCCCCTCCACCCCGGCCCCCCGCCCAAACTTCTTGGGTTTCCGAACTTGTAAGCAGAGCCTGCTAAAGTGACAAATGTAATTTTTGATGTGTATACCTCCCCACGTGGATGATTGACATTTTAGCGCAAACCATCAGTAGTTTTGAGCTTTTGTGAAAAGAGGTGTTCCGCATGTGCAGTGGTTTTTGGTGCAATTGTCGGTTGTGGTGCCATATTCATGTCCGACAATACCTTGACAATCTTCAATGGAACCGCAAAAAAAAGGTCATTCAAGCAGCATGCTATTGTCCGGACTTAGGCTAGATACGTTGGGTTAGTTGTGGGATGGAATGGCATGTTTAGCGCGCGCGCGACCAACACTTCAAACGTGCTGAGCATCTTCATGTGGTTTCAAGTCTTTCTTGTGGCCACGGAAAAGCTGAACAGCGTTGACCCGCACTCTCCCCCAAGGTCCTGGTCTCTGAAACTCGAATTGAATTTGTCCTGGCCCTCAAACCAAGCAAGGATCCCCTTTTAAACCCTGTGTGAAGCAGCAAGGCGATCAAACTTTCAAAGGGGGGCAGTCTACGATGGCTCTATGTTTGACCCCGACTAACTCCATTGAAAAGTGGTCCAGCATAGAACACTGCCCTGGGAGACCGGATTCCAAACGCTGAGTCCATGCATTGAGGCTTTTACGCTTCAAACCTTCAAGGCCGTAGCCCGAAGCTCACAGACCTAAAGTCTCCAGCCTTCAAGCCTGTGGCCTGTAAGCTCAAGGACCTGCAAATAACTTCCCCCAGTGTTGAGTCAGGAGGGGCCAAACCGTCACCCGGATCCCTGTAACCTCCAGCACTTCATATAGACACACGGCGACAAGTTCGGCTCTCAAAGCCAAGACGCCGGCCAGGATCTTGACCAGACACGACCGGTCCCTGCAACTGCCAGGACATTTGACATTCGAAGACAAGTTCAAACTAAAAACGACGACAAATACAAGGATGGTGAACCCGCTTGCCGATGTCTTCAGTTAAGTTTTTTGGCACTGCTGACCCGAAACAATGTCAAGCGAGTATACAAATTTGGGTTCCGATACCACGGTTTCCCCGTGCAGCGCTGACTCTTAAAGCGTCGATTTGTACTGAAGAGAAAAGTCGGAAAGCTTCGCAGGAGCAATCAAACCACGAACGGGGATGAGGACTTGCAGGTTCTTGTTGCGTTTGGCTGGCCAGGCATTCGCTGACTCGGTTGGGAAGCCCACCACTTGGAATCCAACCTGAAACAAGGCGTTGTGATACCAGTAGGTGGTCTTGAGAGGCATCTTTTTGTGTCAGCAAAAAAGGGGGGGGGCGGGTTCGAGGGGACGACACTGAGAACAGGTAAGGGCAACAATTGGATTCGAAGGCTTGGTCAAGGAATTTTGGCAGGGCTGATGAAAGGATACCTGGCCTTACAAAATTTGCCTTTAGCTTGGCCTGGCCGAGTCCTGTATTGCATTCAAAGGTTTTGTTTGTGAAGCGAAGGGCGGGCTTTGGCTGGGCTGTTGGTTTCAGGCGGAGGCAAACCTGTCTGACCTTCGTAAAGAAATAGTTTTGGGCTTGGCCAAAAGGGGGCGAGGGGGGGCTCCACCCATTTGCGGCTGAAATGCTACACTGCTGCCCATGTACAAAAGCGAAAAGCGGAAGGGGGCAGGGGGGAGGCGGCGAACAGTGTCAGTACAGGCCTTGTTTTCTATTTGCTTATGAAGTGAAAGTGATCAATGCGTGTGTTTCCCAGCGTTGTGATGCTGCATAAAAACGAAAAGCGGTGCGGCTACAGCCGGTTGCGCAAATGATAGCGCCAAGAGTTCAGGCACAAACTACAGACAGCCGCTGAGTTTTTGAATATGCCAAGAAGATCCAAAACGAATCACATGATTAATGTCTGAACAAAAGCCAGTGGAAAAACATTCGCTGTCTAATCCATGTGTATATGCATGAACCGTGGGCTCAGAGGTGTTTTAGGCTAGCACAGGGCGTGCTGCAATGCCATTTGCGCAAGGTCGTTGCAAGCTTTGGTAACCAACAAGGTCGTGTTGAAGCAAAGCAGTGAGGGGTTTGTGCCGCATGGCTTCATCGTCATCGGGGAAATATGTTGCCTCAACGCACGTGGTTAACAAACTCCAGCTGTCAAGCATGTGCCCAGCTCTAGTTGTTTTTGAACTCAGCCGAGGACTCGGTCATCAAGTCCGGATTGAAGCTCAAAGGCGGTGACAAAAGCAGGCAGAGGACTCTGGCTGTTACTCCATACATGTTGCACGTGTGCAAGGGAAGTCGGCGTGAAGGCTACAAAAAAGCCCGGCGCTTGACGCATGCAAGCAAAGATCCCATGTGAGATTCAAGGCTGATCTGCGGCAGTTTGCTCAGGAAGAAAAAGTCTCAAGAAGACATTTTGACAGAGCAACTCCAGGCATGTGACAACAAGCATGCTTGTTTTGTGGTGACTCATGGAAGTGGTGTTGCGTTTGTGTCCTTGGGCCCCGAAGATGTGTAAACGAGGCCAACGCAGAGCTAGAGCTGCAGGCCATCGAGAGCAATGTTCTTTTGTTGTTCGCAAGCTTGATGAAATTCATGATGACGTAGCATTGTCACCGATGCCCGCGTTTTCATACCGCCAAGATGTCCAGTCAAATACAGTATATCTTCCATCATCGGCATGGAGGTTCATGTTGGGCCGACTGTGGTTTCTCGAGAGTTTGTTGCATCTTGCAGGAGCAGTCCGAGCTGATGAAGGGAGCCACCCAGGGGCCCACAACAACTCAGAAGACGTTTCAGCTGGCTAGGCCGGGGGCCCCAGTTTGTCTGGTTAAGGTGTGGTGGATCTGTTCTGTTCGAATCGAGTGCCATAAGCGTGTTCCCTCATGCTGACCCAGGGAGAAGCGAACAAACCAGCGTGTAAACGAGGCCTTCTTGTGATTTCTGTTGTGCGCATGACATTCGCACTTTATTCACATATTTCCCCTTGATGTTTGCAAATGTCTAAGAACTCGAAGTTGCTTCAGGTGATGGCTAGTGCTGCAATCAAACTGAACGAATGTGGGTGCTGGCCAGTGAGTTCAGAGCCTTTGGCAAGCGTTCGTGTATTTGGCAAGTTTTCGCCACCATTGGCAGGCGATTCAGTACACGCACCTTGGTCAAAATTGAGTTGGCAACATTTGACAAGTCCTTTCAAGTGAATGTTGCGTAGGCGCTTCGTCATCTCTGCAGCACTTGCTCCATCATTGTGGTGGCTCTTGGCTGAGACATCGGCAGCGCATGGACAAGCTCAACGCTCATTTGGGAAGCCTGTCCGAACACTTCGACATCCCAAAGGCACCGCCGGTCTGCCCGGAATCCCGGATGAGTGTTTGGCAGTGTTTGGTCTTTGTGTCCAGGTTGGCCCTGGCTGAGCCTTACAAGGCACCTTGGTGTTCTGTTTGAGCCTTCCACACATGTGGAAAGTGCATCGCAAAAGGCTGATGGGGTTATGTTTCCAGAAACAGGGAGAGGAGCGCAACCGTCGGGATGTGTGTTTGTTCTCCTTTACAAGCATGATGGCAAAATGTCCATGCGCTGCACTCATTCACAGAGGTTCACAGAGCCACTGCTTTCACACAGACCAAGGCAGCCAGAGGACCAGAAAACATTTGTGATACACATAAGATCGTGTGAGGCAGGGCTTCTATTGTGGTCTTCACTGAGGTGGTCTTCCCTGAGCATGTATAGGGTTTCTCATTAGTACTGATGAGTGTGTGTGTGTGTGTATGATCAGGGCGTTCCCAGGTTTTAGGCTGGTGGGGCGGGACGGGGCGAACCACGAATCGGGATCATTCTGCAGATAGCAAGTGCAGGCTGTTGTTCTTGCCTGTTCTGTCAATCAATGCCTGGGACGGTTTCGGGTTGGCACGGACAAAAGGCGAAACAAACCCAACTGGCCAGAGCAAAAAAAGAGCATCCCTTCAGATTAGCGAGTCACTTCAGCACCTGTGCCTTCGTCCCCAAACTGATATGCTCATTCGCTGCTACGCGCTGCTTTAATTGAAGTGAAGCGATGGCGAGAGGCAGGGTCGCATGAAGGGAAGCGAGCCTGCATGGGGAGTGCCTTCCAAGCCTTGCATTAACATGGGTATATTAAAACGTATTAATTCATGCCTGTGCTCCTGCCTTGGACTTGTCGATGCGCTTCCTGGTGCATGTGTTACTAGCACATGTTGCAACATACTGGTTTGGAAACTGTTTGCGAGTGCCGAGCGACGCTGCGCGAGTATACACCAATTTCGACCCCGAGGTTTGCAAATGCCGAGCTAGCTCAAATTTGTTTAAGCTAAAGACCCTGTTGGCTCATTCTCACGTTTTATCGGTGTAAGAAATGACACTCGAGCGGCGGTGCTGGAGGTTACTGATTGTGTGACCCTCCAGTGACCCCCAGTGGTCATGTTTGCTCAAAAGCCACGGCCCGGAGGAGGGGAGTTCTCAGCTGTGAAAACGTCCGGCGGTGATTCGTGAAGAATCCTCTTCAGGGAGTGTGATAGAAAGGCTTCAAATACTGTCCCTCCAGCAGCAACATGAATGAGATAAAGTTGCGAGCGGGTGCATGCATGTGCATGCCTAATTAGGGGCATACATGACTGCTGAGATTGTTTAAGCTGTTGGATGCTCATTATGGTCTTCATGTGACCCGCAGCCAAAATCCTGTTTCGATCATTTTTCAGAGCTCATGGACACTCTTCAGGAAAGACTCGTTTCAAGCCACGTCTTGCCTTTCCAAGCAGCATCGAGTAACAACATGTTGCCATCGATCCATGCTGCTGCACCCGAGTCGTTGGGCACTTATGGGATCATGAAGGTCAGGAACGTTTCTGACAGGAAAGTGCAGGGGACATCATCTATTGTTGCACACCCGACTCCCTAAGGTTGGCGCCTTCAGGAAGAACGGTGTTCTGCCTCACATCATCGTTGTTTGAATAGTCGGGGCGGGTTTGTTTTATTTTCAGATTGACAGTAGCATGTTGCATTTATGTTTGCATTGCGCCTGGAGGGGGAGGCATTCAATAGTGACGAAGTGAAGGTCACACTGTGAAAATAGACCTCAATCACAGCTTGCGAAGAGACGAGGGCATTCGCGAACAATCATGGGTTGTGGAGGACATTTCAGCAGAGACAGGTGTTTAAGAACGGCTCTTCGGGCGTCGTCTTGATGCTTAGTGCTTCCCCCTCGGCAATGCCAACTGAAGGGTTTTGTAGAGTGCGTGAGGTCGTACTTCCTTGTGCTGACCACGCTGAGGGTGTACTGCCAGAAACCAAGAATTCTCAGTTTGTTATAGGCCATGTATATGCCTCGACAAGAAGAACATACAGCAAGGCCGATGGCACATGTCAGCAAAGTCCTTTTCTCAGTTCGGCTTGGAGCATGCTGCGGCAAACGAACATCCGATTGCTTGGCAGGGTATACCGAAGGTCCGAAGGTTCTTTCAATGGTCCTTGAAAAGCACCGTACTGCATAGACTGGAAGGACAGCCTCCGCATTGACATGGAAATTAAGTTCCCGAAGAAGGACGCATGCACTGTCAAACTGTCAAAACATATCGGTTTTAGGAGGATGTTGGCAGCTTTGGAGAGGTACTGTCATGACGTTGCGACCTGCAGTCCACGAGAGGACGTGTTTTCTAGTTTTTTTTCGACAGGAGAAGAAAGTTCGGAAGAAGCTGGAGAACAGGCTCGGGAATTAACAACTGAGAAGTCATGATGGAGGACTTTGAAAAGCCACTGAAAAACTACTGATAAACTAGAGATGCTGGGCCGGGCAGCGTTGGAAGGCGTTGTCGCACGGGGATTTCTTCCTGCCTTCTTAATGCGCAACTGCTAACAGAACTAGTAACGTCGAAGATTGCACGGTGTTGACAGTTTTGCTCGTCCAGTCTAGCAATCGGTTCTTTTCCCCGGACCAATTTTCTCCAACTCTTGTAAGATGCTGTATGCAGGACATCTTTCACGGGCTCTTTGAGTAGCTTCTTCTCAGAGCAAAAGTATCCAGAGCTCGGTGCTGAGACAGATCACAAAGTTCACACTTGTCCATTGGATTCCATGCTCTCTACGCTGGATTCACTGGATCTTGCGACAGTCCAGGCCTGTGTACTTTCAAAGTGTTGACTGTGTCAGCGCGCCATGATTAGAATTCTATTGCTGCTGCCTTTGTTTCGCATCTACCGCATACTATTTCCACCGGTCTTCCATCTTATGCTATTCCTTTGCGTTGTGTGCCAGGTCGGCATTCCAAACTTCTTGTCACGGAAAGAGCGGGGCTCTTGTGACAGGCTATCGGTGTGAGGCATGGCGCTGACTAGTCCATTCATCATGTGTACTAGGCTTGGCAGCCCGAACTGCATGAACACGTCAATACAAGCTTGCTTGACCTTAATAGATAATAGTAAGGTGCGCAAAGATCGTCGAGTTTGCTGAGTCCCAGGGGTTCAGCCTTCAGAACAGACACCGCGTGCCACACTCAGTGCATGAGATAGATTCGTGAGATACGGCTTGAAATTGCCCGCAGTACTGTGGGAATGCTGTACGCAAAGTGTAATTAAGAGGTTCTGAATATGATGTGGACGGACTTGATCGACCCCTTCCTTGCAGAAGCTCTCTGGGAGCACGGCGCTTGGGCGCATGGAGCTTCCTCGTAAATCAAAAGGTTTACATGTCAACCGCGGTGTGGACAAGCGTCAAAGCCGGCTGAGTAATGCTGAGTTTGAGGAGCCGATACGACAAACGAGCGCCTCATTTCCTTTGACCCCGGGCACTTGTGATGGTGCTTTTCTTGCATCCCTTCACTCCGAACAGCGTCTAGCCACTAGAAGATGGAAAGCACAGAGATTCAAAGAGCGCTTTCAGACGCTTTCAGACATTCGCTTCATTCCGTCAATGCCAGCCTTGACCCGAAATAGGGGGTGATCTGCTGATCATTCCCGGTGCTGTTGTGCTATCTTCTGCACACTAGCAGCCCTAAGAATCCGTTCCTTATTACTTGGGACTTTTGGCTGACAAGCCATGGAGTCCGTTCCCCGAGCTGCAGCTGCACGGCTGCCTGCGACGCTTGAGATGTCTCTCGTCAAACAAAGCTAGAAGCTACAAATTGGGGATCTTGAAAGTTGATCTGAAGCAAGGAAGACCAGCAGCAAGTTTATGGCAGGTTGTTAAAACCATCTATAAAAGCCGTAGGTCATGATATGCCGATGTGTCGGCTTGAATCGTTGAAATGTTTCGCAGGCTACTGGGGAGCAGAAGCAGTGACTCGGGCGTTGCTGAACTTGCAGGTCCATGAGTCCATGATTTGGTGCTCTGTGTTCGGCTTGTTTAGCGCCCTAGGTCGAAATGGGGTTTCATTTCTGCCTCAGGCGTGGCGTTGGTCTGGATGGCAGGGTGCACTGCCATGCTGCGCAAGGCTTCGTTACAGGGCTCACTTTTCACACTGCAGGGCCTCGGATCACGACAGTCCTGGTGGCTCCTGGCGCCGCTTGGCAAGTCGTGATTTTGGTAAGATGGTTTGCAATGTCGACAACATATCTGAGCAAATGGGCCGCACGGTATTGCAATGGTTGTCGTCTTGCGCTTTCGTAGCTGTTGCTGTTTTGGGCGGTGCCTAGCTTTCAGTTTTTGCCACATTCTCCTTCCTTGCAAGCGGCATAAATGGGTTTCAAAGAGCAGCGGTGCCACGTGTTGTCGAATAGATCTTGAACCGTGAACCTGTTGCTTGACGAATTCTCACAGCTGCTCTAACTTCAGGCTGCGCTATCCCATCTTCGTTTTGCTTCATGCAGCAGCAATAGATTTGACAAGTTGCTTGCGCCAGCGCATTGCCTTGAAATGGAGACGGAATATGACTCGAAAGCTGCACAAGCTGTATTTCCAGAAGCAGCGCTTCTATCGACTTCAGGCCGATGTGCGGGAGCAGATGATTGTTGATGCGGATGTAAGGATTTGCCGTGATGTTCATGACATGGCTTATGCGACGTCGGAGGTTGCGGTTGCAGGCATAGAAGCCATGGTGAAAACTTGCATTTTCACTGGTGTGTCTCTGGTACAGCGCCACTGGCTTTGGGGTTTTCTTCCCTCTTTGTTTTTCGTAGTGGTGGTAAAGTTCGTTTTGGGTGTGCAGCCCAATCATGGTAACACTGTGCAGACATCGCTGCAGCACTTTGAAAGCCGCTTGAGACAGCACTTTGGAAGACTGCAATCTCGATGCGGCAGTATTCTCATGCTGCAGGGAGAGGCTTTTGAGTTGGACTTGCTGCACAAGTCCTTGCGGGACGTTTCCGCTATGGCGAGAAAGATGTATGACGTCATGTTTCCCTTAGAGATGGCAGAGTGGATGTGCTTGCATTCGACACAAGCAGCGACCGTCCTGGAGCTTATGGCCTTTGTTTCTGCCGCCAGCCTTGGCATGCGATATGGTTCGATTGATGGTTCGTTTGACCAGCATTCGCACGCAGCCGGACGGTATCTATGCAATGTTCAACATTTTTTCAATGCTGCCTGGAATCGCAAGCAGATGTTTACGATGTTTTATGCTTCTTTGTGCGGAAAACGTAACGAGCACATGGAGGCCTGACATTTGAAATATGTTTTGAATTTAAAGGCTCGGCACGAAGAATCTGCGATGGCGTGATGGGTTCTGGCATGTTCCGCGTCTGATTGTCTTCTTGTGACAAGGCTTGTTCAGGTTGGAACGCCTTTCTTGGATCCAGAACACTATTGATGAGCTCCACTGCAGCCTCAAATCGGGTGAAGCAATTGTACACCAGGCGGGCTCTTACTTTGTCTTTGCAGCATCATGCAAAGGCGCACCTAACTGGACAAGTTCTTAAGTCGATGGTTGAATCTTAGATGAGCAAGCTGCTACCCCCCCCCCCCCCAACTCAAAAATACCACTTTGTGACAGCAAAACGCTTTACCCGAACATCTTCGGAATTCCGTTCACTCCAATGTAAAATTCGACCCAAACCTCTCAGAGCAATAGCACCCCTCCATACCTTGCAACACCACACTACAACATTCTGTCTAACATATCACAAAGAAGCAGGAAGGGCATGCTACTTTTGTGCGTAGGCGAAATTCTGAGGAGCGGGATCCCTGAAAAAAACACACCCTTAATTTTACTCCCTAAATCCTATTCCCTAAGCCTTAAAGAGGGGGGGGGGGGTCCCTGCCATGCGCACGGAGAGAACACCACCTGAATCTTGTAGAGGGGCCCGAGTTAAAAAAGGTCCTTAAATCCGAGAGAGGCGAGCCCCTTCATCCTACAACATGAACCCTATTCCCTAAATCTTATCGCTTAGAATGGGACGCGTAGAATTTTTCTCCCCATATCCAATTCCCTAAACCCTACAGAGGGGAGAGGAACTCTAAATCCGAAAGAGGGGGATCAATTTGGAAAAAGACCCCTCCCCCCCCTAAATCACAAAACGCAAGCCTTGCTCGCGAAATCTTGTCGCTATATCCGAAAGAGCGGGATCCCTATATCTTATTCCATGAATTTTACTTCTTGGATTCTATTCCCTAAGCCCTAAACAGGTAAATGCATAAACATGTGTTTTTGTTTGGTTTGCCACCCCCCGCCCCCCCCGCTCCCCCCCGTAAGACCTCTTTCGGATAGATACAGACCACATCATGACCCGCTTCACTACCAGCAGCAACACGTGACCTCGGACACCGTCCGAACCGAACTGTCATGTGTGCGAGGTTGTGGTGTAGACTCTGGAGACGCCGTAGACTCTGTAGACTTCTGGAGTGTGCCGTACAGTACACAAGGCTTGATGAAGCCTCGAGATGCTAGATGTGAACTTGACAGGCTAGAGCGCTGCGATCAGCTGCAAATGAAGGCCAGCTCTGCAAATCGGTTTAGAAGGGTGCCGAACCGAACTGTCATGTGTAGCTTGCGGCAACATCCAGGCATGCCCGCATTTGACGCAACTGGATTTGTATGCGGACATCGTGGGACCTCTACAGAGAAGCAAGGGGCACTTACATTTTCGCATGCGAGGCAAAATGCACAACTGCTGAAAGCATTTGAAAGCATCCGAGAGCTCTTGATTACAGTACACAGGGAAACGGGCGATCCTTCAGGCGAGGCCGAAGAGGCGTTCTGCCAAGGATGCTGCGCCCGAAGTTTTTGTGGACAAGGCAAACTGTGCATAGTTGTGTGGAGTGTGCTGCACCATGCTGTGCCATGCTGTGTGTGTCAAGCTTGCCCACGAACATTGGATCACATTAAGTTCTTGGCAGGGTGAGATTGTGTCCTTCCAATCAGTGACGATTCAAACACCTTCGAAGCATGCGCTCCTACGTGATCTCACTTTCAGTAGCTTCGGCTTGCATTCGCAAATTGAAGTGCCGCGTAATTCTGCAATTCTTTTCGGTGTTCTGAAGTTTGTGTAAGCTTGCGGTTAACAGAGACAAGATCTTGTCGTGTTCTGGTTTTGTTTGACGTGCCACATGTTTTTTTTTGTTCCGTGCCAGACCAAACAAAACATCAGAGTCCTTGCACCACAATGTGTCGGCTTCTCGTTCTTGTGGAAGCAGGACTAGCAGTAACGCACGGCAGGAAGCAGATGGCCTGTGCCGGCAAAAAATCGGGCGAGGTGTTGCTGCCAAGCAGCTACAAGGGAGTCATCCGGGGAGGTACAAAGCTATTTGGGTGAAGTGCGATGGAGCGGGCATGCAAACTTCTGACTTCCGCACGTGTTCCTATTGAGGGTTTTTGCACTTGATGCTCTTGCGATAATTCTGGCCATATTCTTGCCTGATTGTTGTTCATTTGCGGCGCTTGGATCGTCGTCTTGTGGTGGGAGTGAAGAAGCTAAGGACCGAGGGTCTTACCGTGCGGCAGTTAAGATATGATGCGCACCAATTCGTACCTTTTTGGACCACCCACGCTCTGCCCACGCCCTTAGCATTTGCACGGTTTCCCGTGAAGAGGACACGGTCTTTCTCCTCAACATTTGCCTGTGCTGAATTGGTTTTGTAGCAGGGAAAAGGCAGGAAGCTCTTCGCTTACATCTTGCGATGGCTTTATGACTCTATACATTGCAGTTGACCTTTTGCTTCGACGGCTTGATAATGGCACCACTCGGTCACTAGGGGCGAACCGAGGCGTGTCCAGTGGCTCGCCGCTTCTGATATGTGGTCATGCGCGGGCATCTTGCAACGGACAATGGGTAGTTGCGTCGGGAAGGATTTTACAGGAACTTGGTGCTGGAGGGGTCAAGCAGTGTCAACTCAATTGTGAGGATGCCAATCTGACATGGTAGTTGCGTGGGCAGTCCTGGCAAAGGCTGGCAAGTCAGCCATTGCACGATGCCTTTTCTCTCTGCCGGGCTGGCCGGTGACTGGTGGCACCGTGGTACGCCCTGGTGGTCACTCGCTTTTCTTACAAGTCGGTACAGCAAAAGGTGCTCATACCTAAACATGGCCAACAGCAGCACTGTTGCGCCCGAGGTTCTGCTCGCAGCGCGCGGACCTTTTCTTCCCGTCGTTTGCATGTCCATCATGAGATGCTGCATTGATACACCTCTCTCCTAGGCGGAAGGAATTCCATACCCAGAGGATATCCTCTACATGCCAGATGCTTGTTAAGCATTGGGTGTTTGCAAAGTCATGGAAACAGGGGGGGTGTAAGGGAAGGCGTAGGATGGTGTGGGATTAATTTGGGCTTCCAGGTCCATATGAAAAAGCAAGGCCTATGTACGGTCATGGAGTGGGGCTTGCACTTGACTTATGCGTTTACATTGTTTGGACTGTTGGGCGATGTTGGGCGGTGACCAATGTTTGCAATGTTTGGAAAATGGATTCTCACGAGACCGAGGAGTGGCCGATCCTTAGCATGACATCCATGTCGGACGAGATCACTTTCCCCAGGTACCTGCTGTTCGGCTAGTGATTTTGAATGCCTGCGAAGATCTTTTGGATTGCTCTGCGAAGTTGCACGCTGTTTGTTGTCCTTTTCCTGAAACTGTCGCCCACCAGCCCTGCGTCCTGCCAATTTGTGCTTTGGTTTGTCGGGTCGACTCGAGTCTGGGAATTGTAGTTTTGCGAGCCGGCTCGAAGAAGCTCGAGATCTATGAAGGGGACGGCGGCAGCCGAAGGTGCACCCGCAGAACGAAAAGCAGGGCCAACCGGGCACTGCAAGATTCAATACACTCTTTGAGAAGCACAGCGCGATCGTGCAAGCTCCAACCGTTGTATCCTGGGCTGCGAAACGGGGTGTCAAACCCCTCACGCTGCAACGGTTGGGCTTGAGTGAAGGTCGCAATCTATGAGAAGCAAACTGAGGTTCAGAATTCCGGGGTGTAGAGCAGGGGCTGAAGCTGGGGCGCCGAGGCATCATAAGTCCCGTGGCACAAATTACCCGCCCACGGAGCTGATTGGTGGGCCTTCTGAAGACGGCGAGTGCCGTCCAAGCCTTGACAGGTTTCAAGATGTTTAAAGTGCGTCGGTGCAAGGCGAAAGACCTTGTGACATCCTGCAACACTTGGCGCTCCGCATCGCTCCACGCACTTTTGTTGCCACTCCACAGGTGGTCGTAACAGTTAGTTACTCCCTGAAACGCCAGGTAGCACCAGTAGGAGGAGGAGGAGGAGCAGTAGCAGTAGCAGTAGCAGTAGCAGTAGCAGTAGCAGTAGCAGTAGCAGTAGCAGTAGCAGCAGCAGCAGTAGCAGCAGCAGTAGCAGCAGTAGCAGTATTAGCAGTAGTAGTAGCAGTAGGTAGCAGTAGTAGCAGTAGTAGCAGTAGTAGCAGTAGTAGCAGTAGTAGCAGTAGTAGCAGTAGTAGCGGTAGTGGCGGTAGTGGCAGTAGTGGCGTAGCAGTAGCAGTAGCGGTAGCGGTAGCGGTAGCAGTAGCAGTAGCAGTAGCAGTAGCAGTAGCAGTAGCAGTAGCAGTAGCAGTAGCAGTAGCAGTAGCAGTAGCAGTAGCAGTAGCAGTAGTAGTAGTAGTAGTAGTAGTAGTAGTAGTAGTAGTAGTAGTAGTAGTAGTAGTAGTATTAGTAGTAGCAGTAGTAGTAGTAGTAGTAGTAGTAGTAGTAGTAGTAGTTGTAGTTGTAGTTGTAGTTGTAGTAGTAGTTGTAGTAGTAGTAGCAGTAGCAGCAGCAGGAGTAGTAGTAGTAGTAGTAGTAGTAGTAGTAGTAGTAGTAGTAGTAGTAGTAGTAGTAGTAGTAGTAGGAGTAGTAGTAGTAGTAGTAGTAGTAGTAGTAGTAGTAGTAGTAGTAGTAGTAGTAGTAGTAGTAGTAGTAGTAGTAGTAGTAGTAGTAGTAGTAGTAGTAGTAGTAGTAGTAGTAGTAGTAGTAGTAGTAGTAGTAGTAGTAGTAGTAGTAGTAGTAGTAGTAGTAGTAGTAGTAGTAGTAGTAGTAGTAGTAGTAGTAGTAGTAGTAGTAGTAGTAGTAGTAGTAGTAGTAGTAGTAGTAGTAGTAGTAGTAGTAGTAGTAGTAGTAGTAGTAGTAGTAGTAGTAGTAGTAGTAGTAGTAGTAGTAGTAGTAGTAGTAGTAGTAGTAGTAGTAGTAGTAGTAGTAGTAGTAGTAGTAGTAGTAGTAGTAGTAGTAGTAGTAGTAGTAGTAGTAGTAGTGTAGTAGTAGTAGTAGTAGTAGTAGTAGTAGTAGTAGTAGTAGTAGTAGTAGTAGTAGTAGTAGTAGTAGTAGTAGTAGTAGTAGTAGTAGTAGTAGTAGTAGTAGTAGTAGTAGTAGTAGTTGTGAGCAGGTCAAAGCATGCATGGAGTGCTTGCTTAGTGCTAGTGCAGCTTGTAGTTTTCCCTTGCATGTGTAGTTTTGCAATTCGTAACAATGCCAATGTTTTGGCTCAAGTACCGAGCTTGTGCCTTTGAGCACGGTAGTTTCGTAC